TTTATTCGGTGGATGCCAAAAGCATATTTATTTAAATCTACGTTAGATTTCAAATGAAAATATTTATACAATGATTTGGAGTGAAGAATTTATTCTATATGAGCGAAAAATCACCCGAATCCAACTTACTTGGCTGTCACTCCAGTCTCCGAATGAAATTTCACTCCAAGAAATTTAGAGAATTCCACGCACCGTAATTGCGTATTTTTTTTTTTCATCGAGATAGTTCGATGCGCTATTCATGCGATTCATTTTTAACAATTCGATATTAACGAGCCAGTTCCAATATCGGCTCTCTGATTCGAATGTCGATAGACTTGCACAATTCTACGTACATTGTGATCCTGTTATCTTTTCATAGAACACGCAGTTAGAGATGGAACGCACGTAACCTATTCGCACAGTGATATCTACAAGGTTGTGATGTCCCGATTATAAAGCACTCGTCAAACCTGGTGATCACAATCGAACCCGATAGAAGGAATATTTATGCATTGTTGACGTTAGATTATCCAGAATGGAAGTGACGTTGACATTAAATTATACAGAACCGAACCGCTCCGAAGTTGACCGAGGAAATGTGTGTCGCGCGCGCTTTTTGCATGCAGGAGGAGATTGCGTTTTTGCGCGGAGATTCATAATTGATTGACTTCAGAACTTCGCGCTCTTCGCGACTCGTGTTCTCTATACGCAGAGAATATAGTTTTTTTTTTCCATATAAAATTCTCTTCAATTTCATTATATTTTCTTGCAGCGCAGTCAGTAAAGTTTATCTTTTACTGACGGGACATAATAGTAAATTCTTCACCAGTGGACTTCAGTTGTTTAAATAAAGAAAATGCTAATTGAGTCGGCCGAAGAATCACTTGACCACGAGTAAAAATCACTCAATCACTTAGCGAAAGAAAAGTTTCTGCGTTTTCACAGGATGTTTGTCACTGAGTGGGACATCATATACTTGTAATTTAGGTCAATACGAACAAACAATTATCTTATAAACTATTTTATAAACAACCAAGCAAAATTTTGAGTTATTAATTATTGAAAATGTATGAAGACTTTTAATTAATTAAATTTTGCGTGGTTGTTTGCAAAATGGTAGAAGACTTTTTGTCTACATTGACCTAAACTACAAGCATATGACAGATGTTCCATTTAACGACAGGCATTTAACAAAAATTTACACAATTATTAACACAATGTTTCTCTCTCTCTCTCTCTCGCACTTAGAATTTCGTGAACGTGGGAATTGCGATACACGCGATCGCCATTGTATTTATAAAACGAGCGGAATTAGTAAAGAATGGCAGAGGGACTGCGAAAACGCTCGAATGATCCATCGGAATTTTCTCGACAAACGTCAGACGCACGGCTAGCACGGCGGTGCCACGCACAGCTGAATGGAACGACTTCGCCTAATGGATACATTTGCCAACACAATGCGAGGACCGTCCAATATCTTCGCGACTATTATCGTGACATCCTGCAGCGGCAGTTTCGAGGACGCAGCAGCTGCATCCTGCGCGCGAAACTACAACACGACGGATAGACACTCGGACGAGGTTTCCTCCGGAGTCTCGCTCTACAATGGCGTAGTTCGTCGTACTACTACTACTGTATCTTTGGTATCGCTTAAAGTCACCCAAGTCTGCGCACGTGCGGTCCCCGGTTAAAAACAAGACTATAAGATCCTCGGGAGAACGTCGACGAGTGGTGAAAAATTCGCGAGAGAGTAACGCTCGAAACCCGAATGGCGAGGTTGCGCCCTGGAATCGGCGACTTTTACGAAGGAGGCTACTTCCCTCGAGACTATTCAACGTAGCGCGTAATAGAGTAGCAGAGGACTATTCGCGCTATCTCCAAGTACAACAGGTAAGACACGATCTCGAGTTACGCGTGGCTGATGGATTTCGAGGAAATTTCGTCTCGCAGCCGAAAGGAGCCGCGGGATCGACGGGGCGTTTGCGTTGTATTCTCGTCGGCGACGAGAATCGAGATGCGAGGCGAGTCGCGAGTTTATGCAGATTTTATGATCAATAATCAGTGCTTCGAAGGGGGTCACATTACGCCTATAACGCGAGCCAGCGTGCATTACCATAATCTTGAAGGTGATTCTATTACGGCGCTTATTGCGAATAATCGCGTTAACCGCGCCGTCATTGCCACTATTGCTGCAGCTTTCTCTCTCTCTCTCTCTCTCTCTTTCTTTCTTTCTCATTCTCTTTCTCATCTCATTTCTGTTATCATTCCCCAACATTTTGCAGCCACATATAGCCGTCGTTAATCCCTGGCGAACGAACTCCTGGGAAATTGCAAAATTGCCGGGCGTCGTTCAATCGCCTCGATAAACGCGCAATCGCCGCGACTCCACGCAAGCGTTAAATACTGCGCGTGAGTAAACGCGAGGCTATCCTCTCGGTCGTCTCGGCAGTAGTAGCAGTATCGATATAAAGCCGCTATTTTTAGACCGACGAAGGGAAAGAGTTTACCGCAGCCTCTCGGCGGAAAGTGAAAAGTGTGTAAATCGGCACGACACCGACATTAACATTCCGTTTCCTGTTTTATCACGCGACGCGAATTGAAAATTTAGCCGATGGATGGATAGAGTGGAGAGAAGGGAGCAGACAATGTAAGAATATCCTCGGCCTTCTCGGAGAAAACAGTAATAGCGGTATCAATATGATTACTATTTTTAGATTGGTGAGGGAAGAGCGTTCACTTCGGCTTCTCGAAGAAAAATGAAAGGTACGTAAATCGGAACGACAGCGTTATTAACATTCTGTTGCCTGTTCTACACAGCGATGCGAATCAAAAATTTATCTGATAGAGAGAGAGAGAGAGAGAGAGACGATATCATGCAACGAGTATCGCAAAACGAGACGACGCTTACGGTGCACTTCGTGGGGAAAATCACGCATTAAATATATCCAGTTTCGCAATCCTGTTTTATAATTAACGAAACATACGTTCTCGCGCGACACGACGCCGACGTAACGCGAATTCTGTCAACTTAATATCGCCGTGTGTTTTTTCATCAGACGAAATGAGAATCCCGTTATTACGAACAATATCAAAACAAAAACATAACCGGCCGACGACTACTGTTTCATAATTAACCGACTGTGAACTCGCGTGTCGCGCGTAACACAATACGCCGTACGACATGTGTTTGCGCGAGTGCTTCGCTCGATATTTATAATAATACGAATTTTTAGCCGTGAAAAACATCGTATGCGACAAACGGCGCTTTTCACGAGAAAATGTGCGAAAGGATGAATACGTCGCATTCGTTAAAAGCGCGTTGCGAGTGTTCTTTCTCTCCTTTCTGTTTTTGTCGTGAAACTCGGCGATAATTAAGAAAACCATCTGTTTCGAAGGAATGCTCGATAGAACATCTATCACGATAAGCAACGAATATACACGATCACCTCGGATTTTACGTTTTAATATAAGCACCCGCCTTCTATCGTTGCATACACCCGTTTTTCCATTAAAACGCGACATCTGCGTCACGTAAAACATTTTTCCCGGGGATCCCTTCAATTAATCAAACAGCCCTCTTTGTGTGCGGTACGGCGCGATACGATACAATATTCATACTTCATCCGTCACTCCGAAAGTTTTCCCGGCTGGTAGCATCGCGCGAGAAGCGAGGCAGTCGTGTTGCCGATATCGTCGTGACACACGTATATGCGGACACACAGTTACAGCTACGAGCTCGTTTAATTTTTATTCTCGAAAGTCGAGGCACGTGGAATCGCGGGCTGGCTTCTAGCTTTCGCGTAAAGTTAACGGCGCCGAGAGTAAGAGAGAAAAATTGAAAATTTAATTACATCCTACGGGAAACTCGAGTTATACCCAATAATGAGCTTCAATCGATCATCCTCCGATGCATCCGCGCTACGTACGCATTCAAACTTTGAAAAGAGAGAGGAGGGAGAGAGACGAAGAAAATCGTAGAAAAATCGTTGGATTCGTAGCAGAGGAAATAACGGAAGTGCGTAAATCAACGGCGGCGAGAACGGTGACAGGTCGGGCATTCGCGGACCTGCGATGACCTACCTTCATGAAAAGCAATGGACGGTCAAAGGTTAAGCCGCGTAAGAACGACGACGGCGAAATACACGGCGAGTTCGGAGTATTCTCGCGTTGCTCTTTAAAACCCGGGGAAATTTATTGCGCGGGATTACACCGTCCGAGATTCGATCGTTATCTATTGCGACGGGAACGGCCTCGAGATAACGCGACGCGCGAAATCGGGGAGAGATGCGCTTATCCTCGATTCTAATGTATTACGGAACTCCGCGGGCATTTCTACCTGCTCATTGCGAAGTTGCGAGCGCGTAACGGGCTCGAAGAGTCGCACATTTCAAAATATGAAGCGAAATATGAAACAACCGAGTGTGTCGCATCTGAAAACAATTGACGTTTCTCCCTCGTCGAACGGCTAGTTTCAGCATTTACAAGGAATTTTTCATTCATTAATTCTTCGTGAAAAGGAGGCCGGATAATAAAGGAAAAAGAAAGATTATGAGCAAACAATTCGTCCATTTCCCATTCACTTCTGCTTGTCAAGATGGAACTCAAAAAACAGCGCAGTAGCAATTTCTTCTTCTTTTTTACAGAAAAAATAAGAAATGAATGATGAGTTTGGAACGAGATGAGACGCGATAAAGTGCACGGTAAACGCTGCGTTTACTACGGGAGGAGTGCGAAGGAGCGTAGCGAGAGGATAAACTGAGTGAAAAATCAAACTGTGTACTTAAGTGCAATCTAATCTTTCGCGAACGATTAACCATGAGAACGAACGTTCGCTCGCTGAAAGAGACCGGGGTCGTTTACTCCGGAGCGATCCTTCGGAAATCGACTTCGGGGATCTCGCCGGAAGCAGAAACATCGTGGGGAATCTCCGTTTGCCTATCATTAAAAGGAAGCGCTTCACCGAAGATTTCGCTGACGCGCCTACCCCCGTTTCCCGCTCGATTAAAAACTCCACTCACTCTTGTGCTTCGAACTGCTCTTCCACAAGCCCCTGAAGAACGACATTCTGGCCCAGCGCAGCGCTAGTCCCAGCAGCTCCGAGACCTTCTCCTTCGTCACGATCTGCCTCGCCAGCTTTTTCCCTCCTTCGAGCTAGTCCACTCACAGATTTGTTCGGAAAGAAAAACGCGAGCTCCCGTCCGAATCCGAAGTCGAGGGGATTTAATTATCGTTTACACGAGAATCACTGAACACGGGTCGGCTTTCGACGGCCGGAGGCCCTCGGGGTTGCGGACAACAGCTGGCCGTTCGGCGGGAGATCCTCTCTCCCACTCGTCCTCCTTCTCCTCCTCCTTCTTCGAGACGCGCTCGTCCAGGCGAATTCAGAGTTGCCGCGCGGAAACGTGTTGCCGCGGTGGCAGCGCGCCGCGATGTGAACCGTCCGGAACGGTTTATAGCGCTCGCCCTCTCGGCCGCGCGAACATGCGCATCCCCGTCCGCGTCCCACCGCTCCCTCGCTCGCCCGACGGCCCAGATTCCGGTTCCGTTTCCGAACCGGATCTCTCTCACCCGCCGAAAGGATAAAGATTATTTCCACGCGTTCGCGTACGAAAATCCGGCGTGGGATCGGCAAATTTCGAGGATCGTCGCGGAAATCAGTGAAAAAGGAGAAAAATTGCGGCTCCCGGAATTGCCGTGACCGCGGGACCGAGCGAAAATTTTCAGATCGATGGCAAAGAGACAGAGAGAGAGTGAGCGAGTGAGTAAATGAATGTGCGAGAGAGAAGGCGGAGGAAAAATGTCTACCACGAAAGGTTCACGCCGTGATAGAACGTTCGGATCGATGAGATTAAGAATGAAATCGCGTTTCGGCAGCGCGACCAGCGTGGAGAGATCAAAATATTGCGATCGATCGGGAGCGAGAATAAAAAAAAAAGTTACGACGATTCCCGGGGCGACTGTCGACGACCGGGCGGGTGAAGCAATTTGGTACTCATCTTCGCCGGCGACATAGTTGCCAAGAAATTGATGCGCCTCTCTCTTCTCTGACACATTCCCGAAACACGGGGCGAAGGTCTCGCCACCTAATTTCACGGGAGACGCTCGCCCTAAACTCCCGGGAACCGAACTTCTACGGATAATCCCGTAGGGGGTAACGACTCACCGTTCTAATCGATTTAGCGCGTCTGTCGTTTCCCGCCGTCTCCGCCGAAAGGGAGAAGAAAGACATACGTTTAATTCGCGGATTAAAGTGAGCGACGAAGGTCACGTAAAGTCGGTAGAATCGTTCCTTAAAGTACACTCGTTGCGCGACTAAAGTTGCCTCCGGTGGAATAGCTCCGGTTAAAGCGAAATTATCGAGTATCCGCAGGTCGAGTCGACAGGAGGGACACCGAATTATCGCACGTACACATATATACAGTGCCCGAGCGGAGCCGGAAAACTTACCAGAGCCCGTGCATCCCCGTCGGAAAATACGTAGCGAGAACCGGGGATCCACTCGATTATCGGGGTAGTTATGCGTTCGTTAGCGCGCGATTGACTTTAGACGACGGCGGCAGCGACGGCGGCGGCTCGTCGAATCGATTTCACGTGCGCTCGGCCAAATTGCCAATCAATCGAGAGGGGGGAGGGAGGATCGGGGAAAACAACTGTACCTCCCGTTGGTCGCTAAATTACCCCGCATCCATCGGCCGCATCGGATTACGGATTCAACTAACGCGCGAGCAAATAGATCGTAGCGGGACAATTGTACACCGGGTGTAAAACGGTGAAACTTCCGCGCTTAGCTTTTCCGAGGGAGAGAGAGCAGGTGATCTTTATCTGTCACGCCGGCGTCTCGCCACGTCGTTCAATAGACACGCCTGAATATTACTCGTTACTTTGTTTATCGGGAAAAAGCCCGAGTCGAAATTCTGATGTCGCCTTGACGCTCTTAATGATAGTTTGCGCCTACTTAAATTTAATTTGAATTTCGAAGCTACAAATGTTCTCTATATTTCGATTATTAAATTTATACGAGTATCCAAACTAAACACAGCTAAAAACAACGAAGACATCGTAGTCAAAGTGGTGGTAAATTATATGAAGATATAAATGTCAAATTACGTCAGAATTTAATATATTTCGTTATCTTAGCTCTAATGTTAAAAGTTTGACGGGGCAAAAAATTTTGGCAGAGAGGGAGAGAAAGAGAGAGAGAGAGAGAGATTTGTGTTACATCACTAACAACATGAACGCTAATTTCGCGAATGATCTTGTTTATCGCGCGAAACTAGACCCTTGAAACGACCCCCTGACGGATGACACGCTGTCAAAATCAAGAAAATTGTCGCTTGATGGAGCAAAAATTCCCGACTAAAAGGATACTTCAGGAAGGGAATAAGCTACGTCGGGGGAAAGTCGAGCGAGATGATCGACGAGAGAAACCGGCAGGGTCGTTCTTCGGGAGAGACGGTCGGCGTCGAGCTGCGAGTTTTTGCGCGTCCGGCTTAACGGATGTGTCGCGAAACTCCGCTCGGCCTCGCTTCGCCGCTGGCCCTCCCTTCTTTGCCATTGTGGCTCGATCGGTTCCTTTTTCGCCGTTGTTCTGTTATAAACTGGTATTAAAACCGGCACGATTTCGGTTGTGCTCCGCTCTCGCGATACCGCAGACAAAAAAAATCTCGCAGCAAGCGAAATATATCTATTTTCCGTATACATATAACGCTAATTAATTTTACACAAATATATAATAATGCGAATTAATTTCACGTGCAAAATGTACACAAATGTATGATATGATACGATAACTAGTGGATGCAAGTGCGCTCGGTACGGCAAAGGGAAAGGGTGTAACATCACGTTCGCGAGATGTGATGATACGCGGAGCTTTTAGCAATAATTAATAGCACCGAAGATGGAACATACACACATGCGCCATGCAATACCGTCAAATTGCACCGTCGATGATGAAATTAACGTAAAACGCAAAATTCCCGCGGTTTATCTGAGCGACGTTTTGACTGAAAACAACACGTGAGCAAAAAGCATCGAAATGCAAAACAAACGATTTCTACCGGCCGTTAATATTTTTTTCCCCAAAAACGTGACTCGACGGACTTCTTTCGCGAGTGACGCACGATCACGCAGAAGCTCGCGCGAAAAAGCCGCCGACGTCACGTCTTTACAGCTTTCACGTTCCTTTCGTCATTCCGTCGTTCATCGACCGGTGCCTCATCTTTCCCTTCCCTTTCCCGACGCGGCTGGGATCGACAGGGATTTTGTGTTTGACAATGCTCGTCGGGCGTATTTCTCGCAGCCGGATGACGTTTTCCGTGATGCGTCGTGAATTCGCGCGCCGCGATAATTGAGAACGTTAACCGCGACCGTGCAAATCGTGTCGCGCTTCCAAAAAGATCCAGCTGACCCGATGCAGACGAAAAATCCCTCACCGAAAATAATTAGTATGTATTATTGTGCATTAATAGTTATCGGAACAGAAATTCAGTTCTCGGGATAGAATTTTCGAAAACGGGCTCGCTCGAAACTCACTCGTGCATCAGTTTCGAGAAATTCGGGGAAATGTAAGGCATTTCGATTGAAATCAAATAATACAATAATAAAGAACGGTAATAGTCGATTGCACAGATTTAATTTGCATTAACACATTAGTTTGAATTTAATTTGAATTTATTATAATACTCTCTAAAGAACTTTGCCCATTTTATAGGTAGATTTGAGCCATCCAGAGCGTACGGAGATGAATCGTATATTAAATTTTAAAGCATAAAGAGTGGATTAAACTGCATAAGTACAGTCAGTCACAGGACGGGTGTAACAGTTTTTTTCTTACATTACTTTAGAATACATAAAAAATACGACGAAACGAACCTATGATTCACGAGCATGCGTAATAGATGGTCAGAGCGATGGTGAAAATATCGTCACTCAAAATCGCAAGAGTGAGTGTTTCACTCAAGTTTAGGATGGATTCTGAATGTTTCAATTAATTCGAGTGAATTTATTCCCGTGATGGCGGAATACATCAAATTCACCTTTCAGTTTCGAGTAAAAGTATTCACTCGACGATTCAGAGAATTCACTCTGTACGAGTGAAAAGTCGCTCGAATCCGAGTAACTCGGCTGTCACTTCACTTCTCCGAGTGAGGTTTCACTCCAAGAAATTTCAAGAGTATATGTGTACACGCAGAGCGAATCGCGACTCCGAAGGAATCCAGTTTATCCGGCGGTTGGGAAATCCTTCCCGAAAAATAACGTTAAAGTGTATCTCTTTTGCGTCCAGAGCGGAGAAGTTCTGTTCTCGGGACGGAATGCCTCGAGAGGAACTCGCTGGAAACTCACTCGTGCAGAGCAAACACGACGACCGCGTTCGCCGCGATCTCGCTCGATACTTCGGCCGATAGCTCGCGTTCTATATTTAGCCTCGATCGTGTCTCTTCCTCGGCGCGATACATAATTCTTCCATGCTCCGGACTAACTGTAGGGATAATTATCGATCGCGGTATCTTTCCCCGTCTCCGCGTCGTTTCATCCGCCGGCTGCTATTCCACTCGCGCTTCCACCCATGACGCGCGGCTGACAGCGTCGACGAGCGGGCGAGTCTCGCGTTTGGCACGCTCGTCAAGCACACGGACGCATGATGCACGCGCGCGTATCGCACGCAGTCGATACGGTCATCGGCCGTACGCCGCACGAATTCCATTACACGCGATTATACGGTATTATGCGTGACCTGTGTACGCTCTATAATTTTCAGTCTCCNCCCCCTTTGTCCTCGCCCTGTCTCACCTCGCAGAGTGAGCCATTGTCATTACGCAATTCTCGCACAGACAGCGACCAGGAAATGCATCAACACGCGTTGCAAGTGAAATGCGGGACGTTTCACGAAATGCGTGTGCCAAACTTGACGATACTGTTGCGGTTCGAGTGAGAGGAAAAATCTTTGTACGCCCGATTTTTTTTTCGGACAACGCCACGGGCGTAAAAGAAAAACGTCACCGCGGTGTATCGCTGCTCAATTATTTCCTATTGATTATTTCCGGTTATCGTCGCAAATAAAGGCGAAACGCGTGTATGCATATATTTCGGCGGAGATTCACCTTAAATATATACGAGCCGAACCCTGAAACGAGGATACCGAAAATGGATCCCGCGTATTACCGATCATATATTCCAGCCCCGAGTTTCATTTATCACTCTACCTTTAACTTGCAGAACGCTATTATCCGCTCCAATTTCAAGATATATTGATCCATTGTAGTACACACGCTCGATAAAGTAATGCAGCGTCATCATCGTGTAACGTGTATATATTTGTAGATACGCGCGCCAATATACGTCGCTCCAAATAACTGCGATTTCACGGATATTCCGGTTCATCATTGCGCGCGATTATTATCTGAATTAATATGTTCGCATCAAGTCCGGGGGTACACGTTGCACACGCGTCGCCGAGAATCCGCAAATTCATCGCGGCCCGTTATCGCGAAAGAAAGTCACACGGTCGGTGTTCGAGCGCGGATTACGTGCCGCAACTTGCAAGCAATATCGAGTTAAAATCCATTGTTTAAAAAAAGAAAAGTCGTCGCCTGTAAAGAGCATGACTCGTGTACTCAGCGGAACGTACGGTATCTCGGCGAAGCGATTTCCCCGGCTTGCACGTCACTCGAATATTTGTTTAAAACTACGGCGGGTAAAAAAAATCGAGAAGATACAGAAAAGGAGGGAGATAGAAGAAATAACCGCGTGCACGAGTGCGTCGCTAATTGAATTGCACACCGCGAAACCGCTTTTTCACTCGGCGAGCACGGAGGATTTATTCTCGGTCGATTATCAGTCACGCCGCGAATGATTACCACGCGTCACACGATTATCTCTCTCTCTCTCTCTCTCGCGAGAGCGATTCCGTTAGTAAATCGAACATCGTCATTGCGTAAGAAATCAAGATAGATCAGTGTCGGCCGCTTGATCGGTATGGCGGCGCGAAGTCGAAGGACGGTCATCGGTACATTGATGGTTGGTCGCAACGTCAATAGTAACGGTACGGAGCGGAGAACGATCGATTATCGGGAATAACGCAACGGTCTCGATTTCGTACACGCCACCCTTGTCACTGGTCTCGTGCGTCTTTTGCACCGAAAAAAAAAAAGATGAAAAAAGAAAAACCGCTGATCGCAATTTGGCGATGTAACAAATTTAATGGACAGACAGACAGCGAGCAATTCGAGCGCGGTTCTCATCCGAGTTTCTGCGAATCGAGGCCTGATAGGACCCAATCCAGCCCGATTTATTAACTACCGTAAATTACTTATACGTGTTTCCGAGACATAGATATTTTTTTACGAAACCAAGCTCCCTTTCTCCTCGATTTCTCATCCAATCAATTTCCGATTTGTCTTATACTTTGAAAATATAAATATGTTACATTAAAAGCAAAGCTGGATAATAACTAGTTACTTAGTTAAAAGTTAAATTAAAAGGTTAATAATTTTTAATTTAATTTAGTTAATTTTAAATGAATTAACTTTTAAATTAACCCTCAGCTGACACACGTCAAAATAATAACGTACGTGCTATAGGGGGTATTTTGGACCCCAGCGAGAAAAAATGTGTATAATTGTTTTATTTATCAATATTGGGTCAAGCCTCGACTAATATTAGGTAACGCCACAGAACCAAATTTGGCGCGCAACTATAAAAAATTTGCGTTCAAAAACACTCTGGGGTACTTTTAACCCCGTGTGTCAGCTAAGGGTTAAACTAGTTAATTCAAAATGCATTAACTTATTAATTTTTTTACATATAAATTAAATTTACAAATTAAAATAATTCATTAATATTAAAATCACTACGAGCTGCTTACAATATAAAATAGGAAAAGTAAAGCCGGCATAATGTTTTTATTTTTTTCAATATTCTTTTCTTGTACGGAATCCTGAGCACAAAACAGTCAGTATTTTCTTATAATAGACTACCTTTTCTTTATTCAGCAGAAATTTAATCTTACTTTTTAAATATGTATGTAGGTACGTATATACATATACATGGTTTTGCATTAACTGTTAACTTTAATAAGTTAATTTAACATTAACTTAATATTGAAATTAAACTTTGACTTATAGGTAATTTTTAATTCGATTTAGTTAATTACACAGACTACTAACTTTTAATTTAACTTGGTTCAAAATAAAAATTAATTTACTCAACTCCGATTAAAAGTCTTTGAACTTTCCCTTTCTTAATTACTATATTTCCCCCTTCCCTCAGTGTAAAGTTAGGAGCGTAGACCCAGAATAAATAGTATTCTATGATTGAGAAATATAATCTAGCCTGGATTCTATTATCCGCTTTGCTAAAATCAGAGCGTAACCTAAATCAGTTTATTGTGAACATTTTTTTCAATAAATCATTTTAACTTTACCAAAACGGATGCAGATCGAACTAGGTTATATTTGATAATACATCGAGTCGGATTGGGTATTATTAGGTCTCGATATGCTGTAGTTTTCACTCGGTGACAATTATTCGACTGTCGT